ACCAATTTCTCTCCTTTAATGACACATTTATATGCCATTTTTCATTCATCTTATAGGTACATCTTAAGTAGTTTAAGTTGCTACCATTTTGAGACATTTGAATTGTTTTAAATTTTCTTTCTAGAATAACATAACTACAATGAATCACACATAGTGTGTGTTGTATATCATGTACAGCATAATACTGTCTCCCATAGATGTTCATTTGCTTTTATTTCTTGTCTAATTATATACTTGGAATTTAAAAAGTATTCCTCAAAAGAGCTGTGATGGGGAAAAATAACTCCCAACCTGCTGGTTGTCAGCTGTGCTGAGATTTCGTGTCTCCCAAATATCAAAGAATGAGTTTCTAGGATGAAGGAGGGTAAGCATAGGAAAGGCTACTGAAAGACAGGGTGGGTGTCCCAAAAGGGGTTGGCCACAGGGGCTCTTTCTCCAAGAATGTTTTATAGAGCAAAATTGCAAGGTGGGTGCAACATGAGTCAAACTACACTCATCCAGTAGGATCACAAGTATAGCCACTTAGCTAAAACTGATTCAACAGGGACCTGAGGGATGTAGCAAGGGTGTATGGAGAGCACTGTTAACTTCAGTTATCTGTAACTTCTAACATAAAAAGAACAAAGGCATCTTTTGGAGAGGGATGAGGAGGGATGGGAGGATGGGTCCAGATGCTCTGGTCACCCACCTAGGCATCTGATGCCTACCTGGACTTACTGGGCCAAATGGTGTTAATTACAGTCCTGTTTTCCCTTAGGGAGGGATGCAGATTTGGCCATTGTGTCTCCATCTTGAGGCCTTGCCTTCTTCGGATGTGCTTCCAGCCACAGTTTTGATGTGTTCTCATCTTCTGCACTGACTTCCTCCCTTAAGGCCCATTCCTGCCTGATGCCTATTAATTTTAATCTAATTTAGCTATGTATAGTTGAACTTTCTTGATAAGGAATTTCTGGGACAATAGTTATTGGCAACTTTAAACAAATTATCAATTGTTCACCATAGAAAATTCTAGTTTATATTCTTACTCATGTGTTTGCCTGTTTACCTTCAGTTCCAAAAATGTACCATTACCTTTTTGATGATCACTGATGTTTAACATATGAGGAAAAGTGCACAAATAATAAAGGTGATGAATTTTCACAAACATGGATTACCAGTGTAGACAACCTGGTTCAGCAGACAGAATGTTGAGTGCTCCATGGAAGCTCCCCTAAAGCCCATCTGCAGGTCCACATGGAGAAAAACTATCATCTGTACTTCTCTTTTGATCAGTGTTGTGTCTTTTAGGACTTTATCTAAAGGGAATCTTGACGTGTGCTCTTTCAAGCCTGACATCTTTAATGTAACTTTTTGTTGGTGAGATGTGTTTGTGTTGTTTATGCTCTAGACTATTTCATATTTCATTGTTCTACAATAAACAATTTAATGTCTGATATTTTAAAAATTCCTTGTCAGTCAGAAATTATAAAGTATCATAGTGTTACAGTTCTTTTATAATTTTTAATGTGAGGTTGAGCATGTTTTCATGGCCTCACTATTTATTTTGCTCTAGTGACATTGGCCATTTACTAGTTCTTTGTGACACTGGTTGCTTCATTTTGAGTAAATCTTTCACTTTTGCCCAAACAATTGGTCACATTGGCCTTTACTTACAATACAGAGTGATTTTTGTTTTTTCACTGTCTCCCCAAATTCCAATTAAGACCCCAAACTATGCTGTTTTGATAAGGTAATACATTTTCTTTCTGGGTCTCCTGTGATTACAGGCTTTCAAACTTCAGTAAGAGCAAGAGCAGAATGCAAGAACGAGCCATCCACACAGTGGGCTGATGGATGCCATCCTCCCCACTGTGCCAGTACCTCTCCCTTGCTTCACTCCATACATTTGGAGGCCTTCCTTCAAATGCTGTTTTCCCTGAAATGCTGACAAGCCATAGTCAAATTCCTGCTGCCCCAGGGCAACCCGGCATCTGTAAAATGAAAGCTGACTCTGGCCCATGACTGATAAGGGTGATATGGATGAGAATTTCTGCCTCAGAGGCTCCCACAGCAGGTTACACATGCAAATCACCAGTGGCCTTGTTAGAGAAGTATCAATTTTAGTCTATGAGTGAAGAAAATCCCTATTTAATCTCATGGCAGACTCCACAGATGGGCCAACACCTTGGTATTTACCTTTTTCAACTACTATGCAGTATTACACAAATTGCTTATTGCGTGTAATTTTTATTCTTGCTATTTTGGTTTATAGCAAATGTAAGTTATCCCATATGTACATACATAGCTGGTCACTATGAACACCTGCCTATGATTGAGCTCCTAAAGTCATTATTTGAGAAGGACTGTGGACAATGGGAAGAGAGCTGTGGAGCCCTTCCCATGTTGAAGAGTATAATGAGGAGAAATGGAGGCACAGAGCAGTTTCTCTTTGAAAACCTTCCTCAGATGCCAAGGAATACCAGGGGATATTGAACACTAGTTCTGCCCTCATGACCCTTGGTGAACATTGTGTGAAGTTAACATTGCAAAGAAAATTCTAGATAATGATTCAAGAAGTGTGGTTCCCTTGGCATGCCAAAAGGACAAAAGAGCTAATTAAAAGAGCTCCCACTGACCAAATACTGAATAAGTTGAGCAAGAAAACATATAAAGAATTGTTTGGTTATAACTCAAAGTACAAAATGAATGCCTATGAATGCCTATGAGCCCCTATTAATATAAATGTCCAAATAAATAACTGAATAAATGTAAGAGAACAGAAAATCTGTCACACAGAAGACTTACAAATGATTGATGTAGTTGTTATCAGTCTTTCAATGTGAGTTGCACCTGGCGACTTGTTTCAGGGAGCAGGAAGGGGAGAGGGAGGAATTCCAGAGCAGACACGGGGCAGATGCTACCTTTACCAGGTGATTAAGGTTGACATCAGCGGTCATATTCACAACAGTATTGTATATCCTGGATGTGATGCTTTGGTAATGGAGCTCCACCACTGTGGTCTTCCTTCCAAAGTTTTGTAACTCTAGTCTGATTATGGAAAAGAAAACCAGACAAGCCTGAAGGACACTGCACAAAATGTGCTACCTCAAATTGTCAAGAAACTCTCACAGAGCAGAGATGCCTCAGAAACCACGAATACTGATGTCAGGTGGACTGCTGCTGACTTCTGGAAGCAGCGAAAGGAACTGGCTTAAAAATGCCTTTAGAAATATCATTAGGATTGTCTAAAGAAATATGAATAATGCATGAATTTTTGTTGAAAAGTCGATTATCTGTTCATTAGTTATGACAAATATACTATAATAATGTAAAATTTGACAGTCTTGCCTTAGCCAATCTTTAGTCAGTCTTCTAAACTTTCTCCCATGACTGTATGTGCACTTTCTTCAGAAATCCAACCTCAACAATCTCTGCTAAATCCGTTTATTTCAGCAAGGACCACCCACCCTTCTATATCTAATGCTTCTCTCATCTTCCACTATCCCCCAGGTAGTGATTGACCACCTGGCCCATCTTCAGAAAAAAAAAATCTTGTTAGGCTGGTCTAGTTTAAATCCCCTCACTCCTTTTGTTTTCTCTTAGTAATTTTCCATCACTGACCCCAACCCTGCTTCTTGGCTAAAAATTCCCACTTGCTAATGCTGTATTTGGAGTTAGGCCCAGTCTCTTGCACTGCAAAACTGCATCCCTGTAGCTATCAAAATAGCCCTGAATAAAGTCTTCTTTACCAGGCTTTAACAAATATCGTTGAATATTTTTTTTTCCTTTAGCAGATGGTAAAAGTAGAACTGAGGAGTATATGGAAACTCTCTGTATGGCCTTCACAAATTTTTGAAAAGCATTCTAAAGTAGAAAGCTCATCAACAAAAGGAACAGTGGATGGGAGGAAGTAGGAACTGCAGCAGCTGAGATCTTTTCAAAAATTAAAATTCTCTGGTCTCAACCCAGACACCTTGGGAGTGCAGCAGCCATTTGTGATGTTCTGCCCCCTGGAGCTTCTCATTTTAGATGAGGCCATGTTACTCTTCTTTCAATGACCTAGAGTGAAGAATTTTATTAAGTCCTTCTACAACTTCTGATGATAAGACTTTCACCTTTTATGGCAGAAAGACATGGTTGCCTCTTTGCTTCTCATACTGCTACCGCCTGATCTTCAGCTATCCCCACCCACTTTGCTCTTGTATCTCCAGCACACAGTCCTCTTCCACCTCCACATTTTACTGCACAAATGCTTGCACCAACTTGTGTACTTCCAGAGGCTGTGAATCAGGCAGAGTGTGAGTTCAATACTGATAGGGGACTTCACTCACATGTGAAGAGATTGGGCCAATGTCTTGATTCCTCTATACCTGTTTCCTCTCCGTGGGTGATAAAGACTATCTTCTTTATGGGTTTTGTCAGGATAAAAAATGTGACCTGGTTTCCTGCTTTCTACATATCTCTTCACTTCTTCCAAAGGGGAGAGTTTTGTGTGAAAAATAATGGTTCTGTGAAGGCTGGATGAGTTGAGATATGCTATATTTTAAGCACAATTACTACACTCCACCTGCACCCACCCCATACACAATATATCAATCTTCTAAGGCACCTTGATTTTGATTTGGGGTGTTGGAAGTATTTCATGTTGTTTATGTCATTCCTTTAAGAGAAAGCTAGGGAACTGGAGAATATGTATAACCTTGGAGTGAAATGACTTCAAGATCTGCCACCTACAGAGTTGTGTTGCTTAAAAAAAAGAAAAGAAAAAATATTCATTCTGATGCAAGATTATTCTAGTTCTGGCAATCCTTAACAGGGTTTCTGTTAGTCTAAGAAGAGAAAAGACTGGTCAGAAAAGAAATGAGTACAGGGAATCATTGTAGAATTAGGTGGGCCACTGAGAATGTTTGGATAAAAGGTTCAGATTTTGCTTACTTGCTCTTTGCCACAGGTTAAGTAGAAATGAAACAATTTCCATGTAATAAGTATATAAGCCTCGGGTGTTTTGGTTTATTTTCCAGATGGGAATTAATGTGGTAGACTCCGTGGTGTCAGGATTAGGCGGTTGTCCTTATGCAAAAGGCGCTTCAGGGAACGTGGCCACCGAGGATTTGATATAAATGCTTAATGGCCTGGGGCTCAACACAGTAAGTTACTTTAACATATTTCAATATTCCTGCTTTCCTTGCAGCTTCAAATTGGAATGCTCCTCAGATTTGGGAAGCAAGGTTGAGGTCAAAGTTTTATTACCTATCTGCTATTTGCTAAAATGCACAGTGGGAAAATACAATAATTTTTTTGCAAGGGTTTTATAAACTAACTATTGCTACAGCCCAGCCACCGATAGTGCTACTATTTCACATGTTGTGTTATGAACTCCAGAGTACTTTTACATATGGTGTCTGATTTGATTTTACACACTTAGTGAGTTAGAGCCTGTGTTTTTGCTATTGTGCTTGCCGAGTCTTGCAGTTTTGTTATTTGCGGGGTTGTTTTTCTAAACAAGGAAACTGAGATCTTGATGGTCTCAGGTGACAGCAAGGACTTGTGGACATGAGCCCATGGCACTTTTCAATTGATCAGTGGGAGAGTGCAGCTCAATACTACTTAGCACATGAGACATCGGATGGCAATTATCTTTTTTCCAAGTAGTACCTGAAAAGTCATGTGCTGTGTGATCACATCCACCTCTAATGTGTAAATTTATAAGTCAGACTTCTTTAGGGGAAAATATAAACAGGAAGAAAATTTCCCAGATCACTAAACAGCCAAGGTGTTTTCTGAGATACAAAAGCACCATCTGGATTACAAGGTAAATTTTCCCTCTCCACCTCGTATTGCTCCTCCTTCTCACTCTGGTCAGAACGATGCTCCTGAGACACTCCATGTCTTGCTGCCCCCGTTCTCTCCCCCCTTGCACCCTGCTCCTGACTGTGCCATCACCAGGAACAGTCTCATGCACATGCTCGATTTCACCTGGACAGTGAGTCACCTCCATCCCAAAGGCGTTTTCTCCCAGGGTCTCCCTGTCCTGAGGTGCGTTGCCAGGTGCCCCCAGTTGTACTTCCTGCTTCCCTCTCTGTCTTTACCTCTGAATGTGCCACAGGCTATATCATAACCTTGTTTATTAGTTCAGCTTCCTGTGCAGCCAGAGAGCAATTATTATAGCCTATTCATACTTGGTGCGTGTGACATAAAGATGCTCGATAAATATTTATTGAGCTTTCACTTGGCACCAAATGCCAACAGCTGCTATCTATAAACACCAAAAGCTATTGTTTTTCTCTGGTTAAGAACAAATGTTGTTTCATTTGCAAAGTAGCTCAATCATTTCTGACAGAAGGATATGACAAACTGGAGAGAAAGCCCTCTTTTCCTGGAGTTTAGAAGAGCAAACTGAACTCCTTTGACAGCTGATACTAAATACTTGTCAGGTCACATTCTGTAACTGTGAGGTACACATACAGGCAAGTCTGGTCCTAAGAATTTTGCAGTTCAAGGAAGATCATGGCATTGAGTAGTTACCGTAAGCCAACAAGTAATCCAAGCTGATAAGACAAATTCTCTATGGAATCTAATCTCACCGTGCTAACCGTGGACCACTAGTTTGACTTCAAAAACACTGTGGTTGCTTGCTCTTTCCTTGCTGTCCCTGTTATGGAGACACCAGCGCAGGTGCTAATCACCTTCCTGAGTGCTCATCTTCACATTGGTGTGGTTTCAGACTTGCCTTAGATTTCATCCTCAATGTTGTCACTGAAGGCTTTCTGTCAAATAAATGTTTGAATGTGCTGTGCTTCTGAATGAGCAGCCTTACAAGCAAGATGTGCTCTGTCATACTCTAGCCAATTTATATCTTTGCCAGTTCAGAGGTGTATTTCATGTTTTCTCCACAAAGACTAAGGTGCGTTTGTTCATCCTCCTCCTGTACACCGTGGCATTTTTGCCCATCACCCTCCACGCGCACCCTGACATCCTTCAGACATCTCCTGCAGCCCCTCTTGTTGCCTGCTGTCTCCCACGCCCTCTTTCCTCTCCATGACTCATACTCTCTATTTACAACTCTGAGCCTGACTTGTCCTTCCTAGCAGCCTTCCCGGCACATTCTCTCTATCCTTTTCATCACGGCTTGCTTGCTCCACACTTCTGCTTCTGTAATTACCTGGACATAGCTCTATTCGCAGCTTTAACTATAAAACAGAAGTTTCTTTCCCCGTGTTTGTCTTGCCCATATGAGCAAAAATTTCTGAAGACAGAAACCACATTCTATGTGAGGTTATGGAAACCCCAGAACTGCTAACGATACATGAGACATATTTAAAAACCTGATAGATGATTTAAAAATACAGGAAATCCAGCCATGGTGACACATGCCTGCAATCCCAGCTACTCAGGATGCAGAGGCAGGAGGATCCCAAGTCCAAGGCCAGCCTGGGGAGCTTAGCGAGACCCTGTCTCAAAATTAGAAACAAAGTGGGGGGAGGGGGCTGAGAGGCTGAGAATGTAGCTCAGAACTCCCTGGTTTCAATCCTCAGTACCTACAAAGGAAAAATAAATGAGGTGTCATCTCATAATAATAGCTGTTAATTAAAGAATGATAAAGGCCAAAAAGAAATTCTCCTGGGGATGATATATCATCAAATTCCATGCATAATTGTTATAAATGGAATTCTTGGGAAACAAAGAACGTTAATAATTTAAATCTCCCTGTGAACCCTTGCTGAATGTAATTCAGAAATGAAAGATGCTTGCAGCTAGTTATTTACCAAATTTAAATCACAACAAATTAAGAATGTTAAACTAAATTGTACCTGCTAGATGATCCATCAAAAGTCATTACTAACACAAAACAAAATTATCATACCAAAGTGAACATTACTACCCTAAAACCAACTCTATAATGAAAAAGAAATAATAAAAATCATTGAGAAGTATCATTTAGGAATATTTTTCTTAATCATTCTTAACAAGTTAAATACACTACAAAAATAAAACATTATTTCTAGAAAAAGTGATTAAAATATCTCCATTTTCTGAAATGATCATTTTTATAAAAACCTTTATGAACACTTATATTTGTCTATTTTAGGGGAAATTCAGACTTCCAAAAGTGTTTTGATATCTTTTTTTTTTTTTTTTTTTTTGGGTACCAGGAATTGAACTTGGGTTCTTGTGCTTGCGAGGGAGACAGCAGAACCACTGAGCTAAGTCTCTGGCCCCATCCAAAAGTGTTAATAACTGCTACTTAATAGCAAAAGTGGCTGCATATATTTAATTTTGAGCCCTTATTGCTTCTAGTCCACATTGAGGGTGAACATAGAAGCTTATGAAATGTTGTGTGAGGGCAAATCTGTGGTTAACCCACCTAATACTAAGACAGCAGAAGTGCTAGATGTAAACTTTGATAGTGACCTGCTGTTACCTGAGGCCCAGAGATGAGAAGCATGCTCTGATGTTGGCCTTTATACCCGACTTTGTATCTGTCATCCATGGATTTACCTAAGCCTTTGTTGATCCTATATATACTTCCAGCCAGAACAACCTCTCAGGCAAAGAAGTTCCAGATGTGTACTAAATACGATTTCATTTTATCTAACTTCCAACCACTTCCTCCAATGTTGTATCAGTAATAGTGACTGAATGTGCAAAAAAATTATGCATTCCTTTTTTCTGCAATCTGTAAGTCTGTATTCAGTTTGTTCTTTTTTATATAGTAAACATACTGGGTTTCTTTCTAATTCAGTTCTGATCTATAAACTTCTTCAAACCATTATCAGTTAGATTGTGTGTTAGTGTTATTTTGTGGATTATTGTCTAAATCCATGACTGTCCTCCTGAATTACACTGTTATCCAGGTGTGTCTACCTTATGATATTATGGAAGTGAGATTCAATATATGTTTTTTCAAGGTACAAAAAATATGAAATGCTGACTATATTTTACAAACAATAGTTTTCCCCAAGTAGATAATGAACAACACAATATTTAACAAATTTAAGTTGATAAGCAATGACTCATAAAGTTAAAAGGCATTTGTTTTTGTCTTGTTTCTGATTTCCCATCCCTTCTTTTCCTTCTTATCTTGACCAGGGTGTGAATCTCTACAAAGTGATGGAAGCTGGCGACTTTATTTGCAAAGCTGTGAATAAAACTACAAACTCTAAAGTAGCACAAGCGTCTTTCCATGCTTGACTTGAATATATTTATGAACTAAGATTGAGATGATCCGTTTTAGCTACATAGATTCATCTGATAATCAATGCTAACTCATTCTCAAATGTGAAGTAATAGACAAGAGTGGAAAAAGAAGACACTTTTTTTTTAACTTTTTTTTTTTGGTACTGGGGATCGAACTCGGAACCTTGAGCTCACGAGGCAGGTGCCAGAACCACTGAGCTAAATCCCCGGCCCAAGAAGACACTTCTATAAAGATTTTGCCTGGATAGACATGAAGTCAGTGGGAAACAATAGCAGCCATCAGGTAAATTTGCCAGCTGAAGATAAATAATAAAACTTGTTCACATCTTTTTGAACTGGAAGAAAAAAGGCTACTCTTTGGTCTCCTAGAAATAACTCTTTAATTTAGTAGATGTAAAAATGGACATCAGGTTTTCCCAAGTATCATGTATGTGTTACTATCTAATCGAGCTAGCTTAGCACAGGGTGTGCACCATCAGTAGTTCGTGAGCTCCTGTGCAATGTGGCCTTGGCCCTATGTGTTAGGCCCCTGGCTCTCAACTTTCCATTTGCCAAGTCAGTTACGTTATGGACCAAGAGCCAAATCTCCATCTGACCCTACATAATTTTTAGCAATAGACCTCTTATATTTCAAGTGTGGCTAACATCTGTTAACTATTTCAATGACTTTATCTTGTTCCAAGAAGCTGTGATCAATGGCAAGATGCCATATCCTGGATACGTGGTGTGACCTCCCATGTTTGTTACATGCCTCCAGTTTACAGACTTTACCTTTCATTAGTTACAGTTACAGTGGTATTGCTCCGCTACTGAGAAATTAGAAGGTATGGTTTTTGACCAGATGTCTCATCTGTACTGATGAGAGCAGGTTGATATATGTACCATTATCTACTTTCATAGTTTTAGTTAACTTCCAAATTGCTCAAGAAAATATTACTCAGCTCCTAAGAACTTTAAGACAATATTTAATTCATAAAATAAACTGTTTTCCATTGACTTATGATACAGTATTTTGATTAACTAAGATCTTTTTCGGTTGACTTTTTAATGATTATTTTTTAAGATGAAGTCGCAGAAATGTTGTCTATTGCACTAAACAGCATTGACAGAGATAGCAAAAAATTAATATATCAAAGATTGAGAAAGGGTAAAAGGGGTTTATATCAGGAAAAATGTTTCTGTAACTTATGCAAATCATAGGGGGACTGTATTATTACATGTGGATCTAGAACGTCAGTTGTATTATTTATATAGACTTCTCCAATAATACTGGGTGATCTTATCTTTGAATGAATTTTAATATAAATTTAAATATGAAAGTGAGTACTGTGAACTACTTAGGAAATAGTCTTCAAAACCATTAAAATAAAAAGAAATTCAAAAACTAAGAGAAGTACTAATTACAACTAAGTTACCTTTGTATTAGTACATATTTGGAGTACATAATGATTACACTTTTTTGATGAGTTGGTACATATACAAAACACATCTTGATTCCTTTTTTCGTACAACTAAGTTATCTTTAAAGATAGACCGTAAGAAAAAGTCATAAGGGAAGCATATTGTTAACTAACAAAATCAAAACTATGTTCCTGTGGAGGAGGCTACCTTAGCAGTTTGTGATGTGGTTTTGGAGAAGGGGCTTAACGGGATGGTGATTTTCCCGAGTCCTGAGAGCAACCCTGTCTGGGTTGGGGTTGGGAACGGGGGACAGTACACCAAACATACAAAATTGCAGCTGGTTCTGGACCTGCTGTAGCATGTCTCCTTGGTCTGTTTCTCTCTTCTAGTTCATGCGTTGACACACTAGGGCAGTTACAGGGCCCCTGCACCTGTGTACACTCTGGGTTTGTATCCCACCACCTGAGGAGACTGACTTCCTCCCTCTTCTAGAACAGTGCAGTCTTTGTTTTGAGATATTTGGAAAAGCATATTTTGATGTAAGGGGATCCTAGAAAGAAGGAAGGAGGAAGTATTGCTGTTTTGAAATAAAAAACATGGACTCTTCAAAAGACAGGACAAAGAGAAAGCTCAGGTGCAGCCTGGAACATGGTACCACACCTGTCTACTGATTCCCTACTGATTCCGTCCCATAAGTGCCTCAGTGCTACCTCATCACATTCACCACAAGAAAACTTACACTTTTGCTGGCCATGGTGGTGCATGCCCGTAGTCTCAGACTGGGGAGGCTGAGGCAGGAGACTACCACAAATTCGAGGCCATCTGGGCTACACAGTGAGTTCAAGGCTGATCTGAACTATATGCTGAGACTCTGTCTCAAGAAACAAAATAAAACAAAACAACCAAACAAGAAAGAAAGCTTATATGTTTTAGATATTTGGGATTGCTTTCTCTTCCTCTACCTAACTTCAAAAGAATTTATTTTCTAGTTGAGGAGGCATTCAGATAAAGTCATAAGGCAACCTGATGTCCATAGTTTCCATCCCTTATCAAAGTTATATTTCACCAATTGGGAGATCTTGGAAAACACGTATGTTGATACCAGGCTTGGCTCTGTGGGGAGAGTTTAAGAATAACAAAGTAATTACAACTTTCACTGAAATGCAAATCACAATAATCTTTTATAACAACAAAAAATATTCTGTGCTCTAGAACCTGTAAAATATTTTATCATGTGTATGTGTTAACTATTTATTATAGGCAAATATCATAAGACTAAATTCTTTAAGCCATAGAAATTTTCTTAATCCTGTGACATGAAATTCACAAAGTAAATAAATTGAATCTGCCCATAAGTTGCAAGGAAGATGCTGAATTCTTCTTCTACATTATTTATTCTTAACACTGTGACATTTAATAAATCGCCTTTTATATCGCCCTGTACAGCTATTGATTTTATATATGTGTATCCTGTATCTCCTAAATGATTAACTCCAAATATGAGTCCCAGAACTATTTAGGATTGAGTAAATAAGCCATAAATATAATCCCTATCACAACTGTAAGAGAAAAAAAAGAAAAACTAAAGTCTGGGAACTTCCAATTGAAGGAATAGGCAGAGGAAGAGTTACTACAAATATCAATGAGCATTTTGCTTCATGGACTAGAATATTTGAGTTTCATGTTTTAAAGAATCGTTTAAAAATAGTTTTAGAGATTTAGAGACAGGGAGGAGGGGGTTAGGCTGAGAGGGAGGTTAGGAATAGGCAGGAATAGAGGGAGGGAAAGAGGATAGAGGGGAGGGGACAAAGAAATGGAAAACGAGAGACGGGTGTCACAGATTGCATTTCCTATCCTTCAACAGCTCTACCAGAAGGACGCATTTCCATTAGGCCATTTTCAACTACCATAACAGAGACCTCTCCAGACTTAAGCAGTGATAAAAACTCTCAGACATGACAAATACGCAGAAATCTTGAATTTTCATTGTTTAACTCTGGCTCAATCTCATTATAAGTAAATAGATTCTCCCATTTCTCTGGTTTTCTAGTCTCAAGATGTAGATCTCTTCAGGCTCCAGCCTCTCCTAGGTACAGCATGGTGTGACACCCAAGGGCTCACCATCAACACCTTGCCCCGCAGCCTCAGGAGGTCTTTTTTTGTCCAGTTATATATTTTTTTAATCAACGTGGAACATTCTCCACACTATCCTGACCTTCTTCTCCTAGGCCATTGGGCAGATTATTGTTACATGCCCTCTCCATAAACTCTTACTCCCCTGGCACTAGACCAGTAATGTAGACCCCAATAGGGACTGTTGGTGATCTGGAGGACCAGAAGGAAGCCTGGTGGGAGGACCTTCTATGGTGAGATAGAGTGGAGGAGTTGAAGGCAGGTAAGTAAGCCACACTTTTTTTCATGGTCACTTATTTATTTTTGATACAAATGTACATGACACATGTGTTGACAGTCCACCCACCACCACAGAGGTAGGGCTGGCCCCTGGGGGAGAGGTGGGTCAGGAAGAGCTGGTGGGTGCTGCTGTCAGCCTCTCTAGCCTTCCCAGGCTGCAGTCAGGTGCCCAGGCTTGCAGAGGGTGGGGCCACCTTAGGTACAGGTAGTGATGGTAGCTGCTGGTCTCGCAGAGGTTATGAGGAGGGGCTCTCAGGTCCACAGACACCAGGTAAGTTGGGGACCCCAGGGAGCCAGCCTCAGGTGCTCAGCCCTCTGCCTGGCCAGCACTTTTCCCTCTACAAAGGAGGGGAAGGAGAGATGAAGGGAAGTGGCTTTCCTTTTAATTTCATAGATTAGGGGGACAGAATGAGTGGGGGCTGTAATGAGAAGAGAAAGCATGAGGACCACAGCTGGTGACCTCCTCAGCCTCTGGTTCCAGGTGGGGGAAAGGAAGTCCCCCACCCAGATGGGCCAGGCCTCCTGAATGGCACTGTTGCCCACACACTCACACAAGGGCACGCAGGGACACTCAGTTATCACAAAGTTAAAATTAAGGGGTTAGGGAGAGGACAGGAAAAAAAAATGATTTTCCAGTGTTTGCTGCTGGGGACCCCAACATACTGATTGAGACCTGTGCCCTAGGCAGGGGCCATTTGACATAAGAGGAGAGCAGCAAGAGGGCTGGTGGCTACAGGGCAGGGATATCCGCAGAGATGGGTCCAACTACTCCTAGACAACAGCAATACTTTCTAATTTGAAAGTATTCCCTTGCTTATTTTCTTTTCCCAACAGGATACAGACTTTCTGCCTTTTCCTTACTGGCATTTATTAGGTATATTTTAATCTGTATCCTACCACTGCGGGGCTGTGTAATTTTATTTGCATTTTATAGTGCAGATTAGTTACACAGAATAATGGGATATCTCTGTGTGTGTGTGGGGGGGTGTATAGCATATTTTGATCATCCTCACTTACCGTATTCCCTTACCCACCCTTCCCCTTGATCCTCTCTCCCTCTTTTCTAATAATCTCCCATTTACTTTCATGGCAATTCTTTTTCTTCTAATTTTTGTAGATGCCACATATGGGAGAAAACAAAATATTTGGCTTTTTGAGTCTGGCTTGTTTCATTTAACATG